CGCTCTTCACAGTGTAGTTGCTTTTGTTTCAGTTAACTGAAAAAAGTCATGTGAATTGGTCCTTTCAAAAAAGGAACCTGCTATAACTCACTTGTTGAGAGGGAACTTCCTTCTCAGGGAAATGATTTTAAACTGTTGCTGACATACCTTTCTTGCCATTAAGTATTTCTCTCTGGGTGTTTTCAGGGTGCTGGTTAAACTCTCACACATAGTATCAGAGGAGTTTCTTTGCTAGAAGTTTTTTTGCTCTGTACAGCCATTGACATGAGAAGGTTTTATGTGGAAGTATCTGTTCCTTCCTTTTACATGGTAAAAATAAAAATCCTGAACCATTGAAAGTTATTTTCACTTTCCCCAGTAATGGCTTAAGAAAGAGCAAAATAAAACAGAGGGACGTAGAGCAAAAGTCCAGATAACATTTGAGCATTTCAGGTGGTTGTTCTGAATGACAGAATAAAAAGCTCATGGATGAGTGCGGGAGGCAGATTCTCGAGCTGCTGTGCTGGAGGATACGCGTAGGACTCTCATCAACAGCGGTAGCTGATGTGTGTGCTCCTCCGCTGCGATGGAGGGGAGAGGATTCCTCTTAGACTGCAAATCACGCAATGAATGTGTGATTGCTACAGATCTTTTTGAATGAATAATTCACTGGTGTACTGTAATTTAGCCCACTGAGATGTGATTGCAGCTGTTCCCCTACTGTATATGTGCTTTGATTAAGTAGAGTGTATCTTAAACCCCACAAGTGTATAAATAGCCCATGTATGTAATACGCAAACACTGCATACATGCACCCATAACGAGAGCAGTCTAAGGAAACATTTTCTTTTGGGGGTGATTACTGAGATGAATAGTTTAATATATAATTTATCTTTTAAAGAATCTGTGTAGAACCCTTCCCATTCCCTTTTTTTTTCAGCTACAATGTCTTCTTAATTGTGGTTCTGTATAAAGGCTTTTAGCCAACGCATCTTCGCGTTATTGATGAGTTTATCATTCCAAGACACTTACAATATAAGAAATTACTTCCTTTGTGCCTGTTTTACAGGTAGGAAACTGAAATGCATAAAGAAAAGTGACTTTTTTCATGGTTACACAGAACATTTAAGAGAACTAGGAATTGAGTATCCAGAGCCCTTTCCTGATGCTTTACCTACAGACTGCTCACTTGTCCTCTTCCCTCACAATTCCTTTTCCCCAGAAAGAGAGGCAGGGAAGTTTGAGTAGCTTCAAAAATACTTGTGGGTTCCATTTCAGTTCCAAGCATTTTGTGATTTTAAAAATCACTTTATATTACCTTACATATCATTCAGTCTTTGTGTTCTTATGCTTCTTCTCTTATAAAAAACTTGGTTTATACTCTGAATAAATTTGTACATATAAAAACACTTGCGTGGACCCAAAATGTACATGGAAACAGAAGTGATGATTCCCGATTTGGAATAAAACTAAGAAACTGGTAAAATTATGAACAATACTGTTCCTATACACAATTGATGATATAGGTAGATTTAAGAACTGTAACTAAGGATGATATTTGGCTTATCTGTCTTCAATGTGTGAATAAGAAAGCAGCTTTCAAGATATTTCCTCTTTTGGCCTTGTCTGTAGGAAAAAAAATTGCCACTTGGTGATAATGGGTTTGAATGTTACATAAAATCTGAACTGATGCTGAAGTTAACAATTTTGCTTGTCTAGATCAGTGTTAAAACCAGTTTATTCTGGTCTATATATGTGAAAAAAATTACATTCGGCTCCATCTCAGTTTTTAAGCAACTAGTAATTTTCCAAGTGCAGAAAAAAAATGGAGGGAGTTGCAAGATAAAAAAAAGGAGCATTTCTGTTGACTAGAGTTGGAAAATTTTTTAGGGCTTGGTCAAAAGCTCATTGACGTCAGTAGAAAGTCTCTCGTTAGCATCGCTGGGTTTGGCTTTTGGGGTATATGATGGCTCAGTTTGTAATCTCAGTTAAATCCGATTCTGTTAGGGAATTTGTTCACTGGTATAACACATTCAAGCTGCTCAAAACTGTTTGCACTGGAAGTTTTCTTAACCAGAGGTAGTCTTTTTGCCAGAATGGAGTAGTCCGTGAAAAAAAATACCTTTTTTACTTCATAACTTCATGTTGCTTTATTCAAATTTTATTGAGATAATTTTTAGCAATTTATGTGCTATTTACGAAAAGACACAATTTTTGCAGAAATATTGGGGTTTATTAAACCAAAGACACCCAAAATTGCTCAGGGAAAAAAAAGCTAAAATTGTGACACAGATTGCTAAAAACGATATATGTTTCGCTTTCATACCCTATGAAATGATAACAATTTAAAAATTACTAAGAATTTTGCAGCCAAGTCTGTAACAAGATGGTCCAGTGAGTTTTTATGGAGATAATATTCATTAAACATCTCCAATACAAAAATATAAGGAAATAATGAATGTAAGGATAATGAAAAAGAAAAAAAAAACTCTAGAGAATCTGATCAAAATAAACACTTCATGTTTGCAGCATTACATTATGCTGTGTATGTATCACTCTGCAGCAAGCTTTGTTTGGGGACATTGACCTAAGTTTTGCAAGGTATAGCTGGCGTACATTAGCAGAGGAAAAAAAGGGTTTCAGAGATGTGTACAGAAGGGTAGGGCATAAAAGAGACATAAAAGGGGAAAGGAATATATGCAGAGAGCATTGCTTTATGTTGGAGGAGGCGTGGAGGAGAAGGTTCTCACGTTAATGAAGGCAAGTTTGAAGATGCTGGAACCAGTTTTGGTTTCCATTAAATTTAATGAGTAGACCTCTGTGGACTCTCACGTGAGGAGGATGGTGTGTGTGTTCCAGGAAGTCACAGAGTTTTGCCGTTGTGCCACCAGCGAAAGTCATTAGGACCACCTTTGTGAAAAATATTGTCTCTACAAGAAATGAGATAGAAGAGGAGAATAGAAAGAGAATTAGAACACAGAAAACAATTGCTTCATCCTTTGTAGGTGGGAGAACTACTTGAACTGCGAGTTAAAAGGAGTCGTATGGCGAAGGGCATTTAATATTTGGTTATTATTTCATTTCTTACAACAACTAGCCATCAAGGCATTAAGTACTTTATAAAAAGTCAGGAAATTAATGGTCCTTTTAAAAACTGAAGATTTCTCCGAATGAAAGCTGTAAAAGAACAAACAATTAAAGGTAATCAATACCATTGTTATTAGGAAACGTATGAGTACAACACTTCTTCTCAATTAGGGAAAAACTGTATTTTATGTTTCTTTCTTGCAAGCTTATCTTTGTTCGCTTCAGCCTGTAATCTTGGTTTATGCTTTATGGATAGGCTTTGTTCTGGCTGTTTTTGAAGCATTGCATGCCTTTTTAAAGACTTCAACAGAAGAACAAACAGCAATGAACTCAAAGAACAAAGTATTGTTCTTTCTTTCCATCTTGTGTTTTTTTTCTTTTTTTAAGAAAAGAAAGAAATGTTTCATCGCATTTTTCTCCCCTTTCAGGAAGTTGATGGCAATAAAGTGATGTCTTCATTTGCCCCGCACAACTCATCTACCTCACCCTTGAAGGCAGAAGAAGGTGGGCGTCAGAGTGGAGAATCGTTGTCCAGCACAGCCCTGGGAACCCCTGAAAGGCGCAAAGGGAGCCTCGCGGATGTTGTAGACACCCTTAAGCAAAGGAAAATGGAAGAGCTCATCAAAAATGAGCCAGAAGGTAAGGCCTGGGAAACTGGCCAAAATTTTCTGGTTTGTTTTCTTTTCTCCAGATTCTTTGGATACGTATACTTTTTAATCTTCCCGTTTTCTGCTCCATTTGCTTTTTCTTGCTAGCAAAATTGAAGCAAAGAACTCATAGTTCTTGTCTATATTAGAAATAAATTTCAGCAGTAGCCCATTATAGCTAGCATTTTTAACTTGTCCCAAATGAGAGCCTTTGTCTGACATAACGGTCTTTTAGTCACAGTTGCAATAGACACAGCAACCTCCTCAACATGGGTACGGTGAACATTGTAATTTTAATAGCCTGGGGGCCGTTTACACCACTACTCCCCCCTCCCCATTTCTAGAGCAAAAAACAGTGTCATTTTTTTGATGAAATTATCGAGTAGGTATGTCATTATTTGAAAGGTAAGAAGTTAAATTTGGAATACATGAAAGCTTTTGTCTGGAGCATGTCCTATCATGTCATCCTCCATTTATCTGTGGTGCAGATACCACACAGACAGACACAGTGCAGGCTTTCTCTATGTTATGTCTGGCCAGCAAGTTTCAACCCTGGCATATAGGTATCATCTCTGGAGAATCGGTTTCTTTTGGAGACTGTATATCCAGTGGGTGAAGATGCCACTTGCGCACTGTGGGCTGAGACTAAGACCGAACATCTTGCCTCTGAGAAGCCACAGAACAGCTTTCCTTTAAGTAAGATTTTTGATTTCTGCCTATTTGGGGCAGAGTCAAACCCCTGACTGGAAGGTGAAGTTCTCACTATGTTCTCCGTAGGTATCCAGCATGCATATTTACAGCTACATTCCCAAGGGACTGTGAGCCGGTTTAGGTTGTGTGACTACACTGAGCCTTATTCCCTAATGCACTGTAATAGGACTTCATTTTCATTTACACCTGCCTATCCTGTTGTAGAAATCTATTTCCAATGTTTAAAAGCATGGCTGTCAGAGCCAGCCTTAGTGTTGAAGCATAAATTGACAGCATCTACAAGAAAATTTTAGGACAACCTGCATACTGGAATGAAAACATGGGTACAATCACAGCCACACTGTCACATACATGAACATGAGACAGTTGTAAATTAGTCTTCTCTTCTTGACTGGAGCACACAGTCAGGGTCTGTTGGGAAACACATTCTGTGTCTAAGCATTTTTTGAAATATGATGTATAATCACAGCATTTCATTTTGCATTTATGTTGACTGAATGGTCAGTGCCATGACCTACCTTGTGCCTTTGAATGCAAAAGATCTTCCCTGTGTATGGTATGGGGTGGGGGGAAAGGAGACCAGACTATTATACACAAGAGAGGAAAGAGCAGGGGGTTCTGGGCAACGTATGAATACTCTGTTAAGGGTGAGGTTGTACAAACTGCACGGACTACTATTAAGGAAAGGCCACGGATAGACATGAGAATTATTACAGAGCCTATGCATTATCTCAGCTCTGCTAAAATGAAAATACACAGTACAAACAAAAGACCTACATCTTTGTGAAGAGATTGGGAGAGAGAGAAGGGGGAGCAACTGAATGTTGAGCTTTGCAAATGCATGCAACAGAAAATCTTTTCTTCCCTCTAGCCATTGTTCTATTGTCTTTCAAAGGCCATTAAAATGAACAGCAGGTTGTGATGAAAATTTCATTAAGCCCTAGTTAAATCATTATGAGGGTGCCATATTCATGTCTCTGCTTACTCCCCATCCAGGAAAAAATGAATAGGAAAGGGTTTGTTTCCCCCCCCCCTTTCTCCTTAAAAGCTAACTAACAAAAGTTCAGAAGTTAGAAGAGAATGGGAAATGGGACATGAAACAAAAAGAGGCCAGAGAGGTGAGCTGGCTAGGAAGAAAATTAGACTTGCATAAGAGCATTGAAAGGTGGTGAGGGACAAATACTTCATTTTGACAAGACTCCCTCCCCCCTCCCTTCCACCAAAGTGATTATTTATAGAGTGGCTAATTAAAAAATGTATATTTCTGGGTGCAGATGGCAAGACTGTTCATAGAGATCTTCCACA